GAGGGTTTCTTCCCTTCAGCTACATGCATCATTGGCACTTCTTTTTCATCCTCCACTTGAACATCCCCCTTCCTGGACCCAGGCAAGGATTGAAGATCACAACCCTTTGGCAGGTCGTAGCCCTCAATAGGCAGCCATGTCCCATCAGGCAACACAGTCCAAAAACCACCCATACCATCCGTGTAGAAAACTTGTCCTGGCAGGTACTGCTTCTCTGGAGTCATTCCTAGAGGATATGCCGTGTTTGCGTCCACCACTCCAGAGCTCCGTGCCCTTGAAGCTGACCCAGATGCAGCAGAGGTATAGCTTTTTCCTCCACCCGATGCAACCTGTTCCCCAGCTCCTTTGTCTGCACAAGCAACTCTTTCAGCGCACGCTTCACCACCGCCATATCTTCAGATTGCTCTTCACCACTAACATCAGGAATGAGTTCTTCGTCGGCTTGCACTCCACCAATAGTACCTCGTTCCATTTGTCCCATTAAGCCTGACGATGGTCTCTCAACAGGTGCAGGTTCCTGACCCAAAAGATCTTGCAGCGAAGGCGGTCTTCTCGTACCTTCACCACTCCTATCCCCTCCGCTCGCGGGAAGACTTGCCGGCCTTGACTGCCTAAGTCTCATTTCTTCTTGAGCCCGCTCGCTCCAGAAAGGATTTGCTGCTTGAACCGGAACCACTTCGTTTTCCACCTGAGGCGTTGGTTGTATCATTGCAACCTCCCTACCATCTGTCAGTGCTTGTACCATTTGTTGTCGATCTTCACCCCCATCACCACGATTTCCTTCGGCTTCATTGGCCGTTGGCGACAGTCCAGGCTCAGAGCGACGCCGCATCATGTCCATGGCGTTAAACAAACGAAAAATCTTTACCAATTCCGCAGGAAGCCTAATTTGGGCTCATAACCTACGGGGGGCAACCGAAGGAGGACAGGGAACAAAACAGTCAGCCCCAACAGAAGCCCTTGATTCCCCTGGAACAACCGAAGACAAAACCCAAAGCACAACCAAACACACCTTTTCCGTAGGGCGCATTGCCCACGTTTCTTGAGCCTTGAGCCAAAAATATCCGGGTTCATTGACCCCTTCAACTCCCATCACCAACTCTTTTCTACAATACCAGTTGCAGCTCCGCATAGGGTTTAGGGTTTAGGGTTTAGGGCCCCTAGTCTTGCGATGCCATGCTCCGAGTCTATAAAACTTCTGGAGTGGAACTTCTGGCTTTGGCCCCGGACCTTGTGAGCGATCTGACTGTCGGAGCTCTCAAGGAAGGCCTGCGTGCGCAGTAGCTCAGCTTAAGCTCTAGACCCTAGACCCTAAACCCTACAAGTACGGGCCCCTTAGTTATAAGTAAGTTATGTTAGCTATAACTGCATAAGTTGACTTATAATTAAGTTATGTTGAAAGTTAGCAGAGGAGTTATAACTCACTTATAGCCCAAGTTATAACTTCCGTAACTTGTATCGCTCTTGATTTTGGTATGGTTTTTCAATCCAGCATTCGATTTAAGCAAAATATCATCATCCAAGGAAGCAGTCTCTTGGCCACGCTATCGGTCATTTTTTTCGGGCGAACTCGCTTTTGTAATGTACACATTCTATGGGATGCAGAAAATTTCGCCTCGCGAGCGGGGCAGCTGTGCTCTCCGAGCTCATCGCTTCGGCCATCTTGCGGCCAAGAAAGGGGGATCGGAGCAGTCCCTGAAGCGAACCTCTACGCCTCGAGCTGGAGCGGCTTCGAACACGCGGCGCACCACAACAAAAACAAGCAGCAGGGTAACTTTCAAGGAAAAACACCCGGATACACCCGGATACACATGTATCTGACGCATGTTTGGGCAAAAAAGGCCCGAGACACGCGTGTCCGATTGAATTTCGGAAAAAATGCTCCCGATACACGTGTATCCAGCCGCCCGGGGCGCGGGATACACGCGTATCGGGCAGGCGGGAGGCGCCGCGGCCCGACACAAAAAAACACAAACAGACACAAATTGATACACGTGTATCCGCGCGTTTCCGGCCCGCCCGCCCCACCAAATACACGCGTGTCGGGCTGATTTTTCGGGAAAATGCTGCGGATACATGTGTATCTGGCCGCCGGGCTGCCGGATACGAGTGTATCCGGCCATTTTCCCCGTGGCGCGCCCTCTTGGCTTCGTTTTTCAAATGGCTTCTTGACGTGTGCGCGTCGCATAGTTTCGGTGCTATTGCTGGCTCTCGAGTCTTGCTTAGACAACTTGTCAGTTTCATTATGCACACAATATTGTGACTGAATCTTATAGATTAGTACCGGAAATGTGTGTGCTCGTAAAAGATTTGCATTTCTTTGGGTTTTTGCTGCGAGTCCATATTCTACGCATGATAGAAAATCATATTAAAACATTCTTTTCAAAACATATCATGAGTGAAACATGTTATATGTATACTTCCGAAGAAGCAACCTATTTTTTTTAGAATTCACTTTTTTTTGGTGCAACTTCTGTAACTTCTTTGCAACTTCGAGCTAACTTCTTGAACTTGAAACCCATAACATGACTTATAACTGGTAACTATGGCTATAACTCTCGCACGAAGTTATCAGAGTTAGACCAACTTATAAAGCAACTTGTCAGACTCATAAAATGGGTTAAAACTAAAACCATACTATAACTGAGGGGCCCGTACTTGTAAACCCTAAACCCTACACCCTAAACCCTAAACCCTAAACCCCGGGATATTTCACACATTCTCCCTCAATGGCCTTAGAGTAGGCTCAAGAGGCCCTAAGCCCCAAACCCTGGATCCGATGTAGGGACTCCTTTCCGAAGAAACCGGTCCCAAAGCCCCAAACCTGGGAATCTGATTTAGGACGCTTTTCAGAGGTTTGCAAGGCCCTAAACCCTAAACCCTAAACCCTAAACCCTAAAGCCTAAACCCTAGACCCTAGACCCTAAACCCTAAACCCTAAACTAAGGCATGGCATCCCTGTGAGCATGCAGCATCTACTGCAGGGCAGTGCTGTCTCTTGGTAGCCCAGTAGCCTTTGGCCCTTTTGTGTTTGTTGGGGGGGGGGGGGGGTTAGGGTTTAGGGTTTAGTGTTTAGGGTTTAGGGTTTAGGGTTCAGGGTTTAGGGTTTAGGGTTTAGGGTTTAGGGTTTGGGGCGGTTAAATTAAGACAAAAAACAAGAACCAACCCCAAAAAGGGTACTCTACCAAGGACTTGCAAGATTCTCATCGCTTTGTGGTGCCTTTGGATCTGCAACTGCAACTGGGACACAGGGAGGGGGCCCAGCAACTTGTTATTTTGAGGGTCAGCTTCCTCCATGCCCTGGGCATTCCAAGGTTTACTCTGGGACCCGAAGCTCTATAGACCCTAAACCCTTCAAACAACAGCGAGGAACCCTAAACCCTAAACCCTAAACCCTAAACCCTAAACCCTAAACCCTAAACCTTAAACCCTTTTAGTCTCTGGGACCTTAGGTATCTGTCGCCCATAACCGACGCACAGACTCGTCGAGCAGCTGCCAAAGAGCTCGTGGAGTTTGCGGCCCCCTTAGGTCGGGCGGTTTAGGGTTTGGGGTTTAGGGTTTAGGGTTTAGGGTCTAGGGTTTAGGGTTTAGGGTTATCTGTTTCGCAGGGTTATATGTTCTCAAAATAGGGTTCTACTGTTGATGGACAAAATCTTGCATGACCCCCTATGTTACACGTGTGCGACGGTTGGCAATCGAGCTCCCCGCGCCCCTCGAATTTCAATGTTGCGTGCGCATATGGGTGATGCAGGATTTCGGTCATTCACACACATGCAACTTCGAAGCATTGCAAGGACAGCAATGTTAAGATTCAGGGTTTGGAAGGGATGACCTGCATAATAAAAGTGATGCAGGATTTCGTCCATCAACAGTCTGGAGACTGGCAAGTTTTCGGAAACTCTGGTCTCTATAGTCACGGCTGACCACAGTCAACTGAGGGCCGTGTGTGAGGGGCCAGGATGGGGGCAGAAAGTCCGAAATATGGTATTTTTCAAGTTTCAAATTGTTTTTATAGTTTCAAATTAGTTTCCAACCAATTTCAAATTAGTTTCAAAATCCAGTTGCAAAATCGCTGTTAAGGGGGAACTACAATTTCTGTCCGCGCTTTTTGAAAACCAGGAACCTCTGAGATTCCTTCATTTTTTTGAATTGCGCATAGAAAAATGCAGTTTCCCCTTAACAGCGAGTTTGCAACTGGATTTTGAAACTATTTTTGAAACTAATTTGAAACTACGGAAACGAATTTGAAACTTGAAAAACGCGGCATTTCTGCTCTTTGGCGCTTGGCCACACCCGAGCAAGAGGAGAGCTTAGGCTTGAATCTGCCAAAGGTACATCTCCGACATTCTTCCCAAAAGCCATTCCAGCAACAACTCTTGCCAACAAGTCAGTAAATTATCTTGTCCGAGACCAAGTCTGGAGACTGGCAAGTTTTCGGAAACTCTGGTCTCTATAGTCACGGCTGACCACAGTCAACTGAGGGCCGTGTGTGAAGGGCCAGGATGGGGGCAGAAAGTCCGAAATATGGTATTTTTCAAGTTTCAAATTGTTTTTATAGTTTCAAATTAGTTTCCAACCAATTTCAAATTAGTTTCAAAATCCAGTTGCAAAATCGCTGTTAAGGGGGAACTACAATTTCTGTCCGCGCTTTTTGAAAACCAGGAACCTCTGAGATTCCTTCATTTTTTTGAATTGCGCATAGAAAAATGCAGTTTCCCCTTAACAGCGATTTTGCAACTGGATTTTGAAACTATTTTTGAAACTAATTTGAAACTACGGAAACGAATTTGAAACTTGAAAAACGCGGCATTTCTGCTCTTTGGCGCTTGGCCACACCCGAGCAAGAGGAGAGCTTAGGCTTGAATCTGCCAAAGGTACATCTCCGACATTCTTCCCAAAAGCCATTCCAGCAACAACTCTTGCCAACAAGTCAGTAAATTATCTTGTCCGAGACTGTATCACAAATTCTGCTCGGGGTTCTCCCCTAAATCCTAAACCCATGAACTTGCCCCCCCCCTCAGGTCATCTCGAAATTGTTCGTCAGCTGTTGGATGGGGTGGACATCAATCATAGGGATGCTTCCGGCATGACAGCCCTGTCCATTGCGTCCAGCAAGGGCTTCGTGAAGATGGTCCGTCTGCTTTTGGATGCCGGAGCGGATCCAGACATAAAGGACTAAGCTACTCTGAACTACCCAAACCTTTAGGGTTTAGGGTTTAGGTTTTAGGGTTTAGGGTTTAGGGTTTAGGGTTCCAGGACGCCTTCAAGTGCACCGCGCTGATGTATGCCTCAGACAGGGGCGATGAAAGAATCGTGCGCCTCTTGCTCAATGCCCGTGCAGATCGACAGGTGAGGTTTGTTCTAAGTCAGTCTCACCTATTAGGGTTGTAAGTGGAGACATTGAGGGGAGCTAGGGGCTGCTTAGGGGCTTTGGAATTTTAGGGTTTAGGGTGTTACTAGGGGGGGAAAACCCACAGGCGTTGGACATGCTGGGCCGTACCGCACTGGTCATCGCCTCCCATCGCCGGCACGAGGATGTGGTGAGCTTGTTGGAGCGCGCGGGCGGGCGCTGGTTCTGAGGCTGCATGCCTTCGCTATCTCGAGAGGCCTTCTCTCTCTCGCACGAGGAACTCTGAGAGCTTGCTATTAATTAAGGCCCCCCCCCCTGAAACCCTAAAGCCTAAGCCCTAAACCCTAAACCCCAAACCCTAAACCCTAATTCAGCGCAAGCCTTTCGTGCAGACCATGTGCGGGGGAAAAAGGCTTTTTTGGGCTTCGGGGCTGAAGGGGTTCCGGTGCTTTGCCCGCAGTAAGTGGAAGCCTTATGGGATTTAGAGTTTAGGGTTTAATCAGGGTAAAACCCTAAACCCTAAACCCCTAAACCAAGCCCTACATCTGAAGTTTCTTGGGGCTCCGGGGGCCTCTAGGAAGGGCTTAGAACCCTACGTAAGACTGTGCCCACGAACCTTCAAGCATCACAGACTGAACCTACCCTAAAACCTATATACCCTAAGCCCTAAACCTGAAACCCTCAACCTAGACTGCCTTTAGGAACCGTAAAGTTCTGAGTTGCCCTAAGCCCCTAAGCCCGAAGCCTTTACAAACTGACCCCCCCCAACAACAAAACATATATATATATACATATATATATATATATAAAATTAATATATATATATATATATATATTATATTATATATAGAACTGGACCCCAAGATCCCCCCTCCAAAAAAAAGAAATACACAACAAAAAACATAATAATACGAATAGTCATAGTCGTTAAGAATAGGGAAATGGTAATAGGGATAGTGCGAGTCATAGTACTAGTAGTAGTAACAGTATTACTTGCAGCAGTGACAGTAACATGGCAATGGTAATGGTAATAGTACTAGTGATAGTATTAGTAATAGTAACAAACACGTGCTGGACCGAAGCCAGGCCATTCCTGCCGGAAGATGACGACCTGTGCCCGGGAGTTTGGTGCCAGGGTGTCGGGTTTAGGGTGTAAGGTTTAGCTGGAGTTGAGAGTTTTCGAGTGTACTTGGATTCCCTGTTGACTTAGCAAGTAGGGTTAGCAAGGTTGGGGGTATGGTCTTGTCTTGGGGATACAAAGTCGACTTCCTAAGTCAACATAGCTTCAAGTAGGGCCCCTAAACCCTAAATCCTAAACCCTAAACCCTAAGCCCTAAACCCGAAACCCTAGGTGTAGGGTTTCGACCCCGAGGAGGGCGGTGCGGGTTTCGATGCTTTAGGGCTGTAGGAGACCCCAGAAAAACCAAACCCTCTGCCCCAAACCTGCGGCCTTTGAGAGCTTTGAAAGGGTTCAGGGTTTAGGGTTTAGGGTTTAAGGTCACGAGCGAAACTTTGTGCGGCAGCCACAGCTCGACCGGACGTTCTGGAGGAGCCAAGGGTTACCTCCTCGGACCCTAAGGTTTCAGGGTTGAGTGTTTAGGGTTTACGGTTTAGGGTTTAGGGTTTAGGGTTGAGGTGGTGTTTCAGAAGTGCATGGTCCTTTGCCCCTACTTGTAACTCCAAGCTCAACAGATACATAAGTAGTTTAAACGAGAATCGGGGAGCCCCGACGAACATCTTTCTCGTCGTGGAAAAATCCTCCCCCCATTCAGCGAGAGCTGCGCCAACGTAGATGGCCCCAAGGCAGTTGCACACGGAAACGGCCCAACACTCTGAAACCCTAGTCAGGCCCTAGTCGGGGAGGGGGGGTGACGGTCTAGGGTTTAGTGTTGAGAGTGTGGGGTGTAAGTTATATATATATATATATATACATATGTATGTATGTATATATATATATATATATATAGTTAGTTGGGGTAGATACAGCGCCGCCGTACCAGGGTATAGCCAGGATCATTTCTACCGCACCCTACCTAACATTCCAAACCTCAAGCCCGAAACTCGACCGGCTCGAGGCATAAACCCAAAACCCTGAACCCAAAGCGCACCCTCCCCCCAAGTAGGATTTCGGGTTTAGGGTTTAGGCCTTAGGCTTCAGGCTTTAGGGTTTACTTAGGCCCGAGACAGCATGTGTGCGGGGTCCCGTGGAACCAGCAGGGCCGGGTTTGGCTCTTCTTTGGGGTTGAAGCAAAGGGTGGAACACCCGCGGATTCACCCATTTCCGGGTTTAGTGTGTAGGGTGTTGGGTGTGGGGTTTAGGGTTTAGGGTATAGAGTTTAGGATTTAGGGTGTAGGGTTCAGGGTTAGGGGGAGAGAAAGGAGTTGCTTAATAAGTGCGGGAACCCAACAGCCTCGGGGAGCCCTTCGCGGTCACGAATAGAACCTTATGTGGCCAAAGCACAGCATCTGGTAGGGCAGGGAGGTTTTCAACCCTCAAACTAAACCCTAAACCCTCCCTAAATGCTAAACCCTAAGCCTAAACCCTAAACCCTAAACCCTAAACCCTGAACCCTGAACCCTGAACCCTGAAACCTGAAACCCTGAACCCTGCAATGTCTGAAGCCCGCGCCTGCAGAGGAGCTGCTGCTGAAGCCAGTCGACCCCGACTCACCAGCCGCCACTGGTGAGAGCCTTCGACTCCTGGGGATTAGGATTTATAGGGTTTTGCAGGGTTTGGGGTTTAGGGTTTCGGGTTTAGGGTTCAGGGTACAGGGTTCAGGGTTCAGGGTTTGGGGTTTGCAGGGTTTATGGGGCTTATAAGGTTATCTTTAGGATTTATAGGCTTGGGGCGTGCAAGATTTCAGGGATGTTTGAGGGATGCTGGGGGGTTTTCGGAATGTCTTTGGGAGACTTTAGGGGTGCGTGGTGTTTTTTCTTTAAATGGCTTAGGGTTGAGGGAATCTGTTCTGCAGGGTCAGGATTTGGGGTCTGGAGCTTAGGGGTCGGGTTTAGGCTTTGGGGCTCAGGGGTTTTAAGGGGGATCTTGGGGCGTAGTTTGTGGGATTTTGGGGGTTGCGGGTTTCTTTGGGTTGGCAGGGTTTGGAGGTTGGCCTCAGAGGGTTGGGACAAGATTCGGACTGAGTTGAGACAGGGTTTACAGGTTCGGGGTTTGTGCTATGTGTTGTGACTTCGTGGTAGGTTGCAATAAGGAAGGCTTCGGGGGATTACAGTTTGCGGTTCTTGGGGCGGGCACCTAGGGCCGTCGATTCTGTTGGGGCTTAACGGGGCTTGCCCTTTGAGCTAAATAGGGTTTGGGGGTGTTAGGGGCTACTTTCTCTCAGGGCTTTTTCTTCGTCTTGAAAATGGGATCAGGGGGCTGAGGGGTTGAATGAGTCTGATTTTAGGCTTTCAGTTGGGTTTATCTAGGGCTTCGTGCTCCGCGCCTCAACTTTCTTAAAGAGATGCGATGGTTTGTTTCTAGGACCGGGAGTAGGCCCTTCTTCCTTTTTTTAGGGTTTGGGTTCCCTTATAATCCCCTTGAAAACCAAAAAGGGGTACCCTTTTTATTCCTAGGTTACTCTCGGGTCTAGTTTTTGAGAGATCAGGACCGCCCTGGAAGCGGCTGCCAAGAATGGCGCCGTCTCCTGCGTGCTGTTGCTGCTGGAGGCGCCCCGGGGTTTTGGTCAACAGCTCTCGGAGTCCCTATAAAGCCCTATCAGCCCTATCAGCCCTATAAGCCCTGTAAGCCCTACAAGCCCTATAAGCCCTATAAACCCTATAAACCCTATCATGTAAGCCCTACAAGCCCTGTAAGCCCTTTAGGCCCTATAAGCCCTATAAGCCCTAAGCCGTAAGCCCTATATGCCTTATAAGCCCTAAGCCCTAGAGACCCTAAACCGCAAACCTGTGCAAACCCTGAAGCCTCAACCAGCCTGCAGCATCAGCCAGCTCGGTTGAGCTGCCAGACGGCGTCATTGATATGCGAGCTTAGGTCATACAAGGGGGTTTAGGGTTTAGGGTTTAGGGTTTAGGGTTTAGGGCCTGGGGCCTAGGGTTTGTTTGTGTGTCTGGCAGTCAAGGCTTCGGGGATTTCGGGAATGTGATTGGGGGGAGGGGGTTTAGCGTTTCGGATTTAGGGTTCAGGGTTTAGGGTTTAGGGGTTAGGGGTTTAGGGTTTAGGGTTTGGGGTCTAGGTTTCGGGTTTGGGGTTTCAGGCTCAGGGGTTTAAATGCAGCGTTTTGGCCAAGACCGAGGCACGCGCAGACATGGACGCAGCCGGCTCCGCTGGAGGGCGACCTGTCCCAACGAATTCCTCAGTTGCGCTAAACCCTTTTAACCCCCAAACCCTAAACCCTAAACCCTATGTGTATGACATTTTTACCTGGTCATAATATGCCCACCCGCACTGGCGAGTGCAGCCACTCATCAGGCTGCCAAAGTTGACTTATATATCCTAAACTGCCTAAGCCCTGTACCCTGTAAGCCCGAAACCTAAACCAATGTTGACGGTTGGAATCTGGGATCGGGCTGCAACTCAGTGTACCTGCCCTAAACCCGATCGGCCCAAACAGCGAAGCCCTCAGCCCTAAATCCTAAACCCTCATAAAACCCTCCAAGGCTCTTTTCAAACCCTGAGTAAGCCCCTTAGTCGCAATCCTTACAAACCCTAAACCCTAAACCCTAAGCCCAAAAGGGCCCTTATGCCAAGGACAGCCCTGCAAGGGTCTTCGGCCGCTGGCCACACGGAAGTGGTGCGACTGCTGCTTGGGGCTGCGGCGAGTGCGAACCTGGGAGATAAGCGTCTCGGTGAGCAGGTTGCAGGAGGGTCTAGGGTTTAGGGCTTAGGGTTTAAGGTAGTTTAGGGTTTCGTGTTTAGGGCTTAGGGTAGTTTAGGGTGCGCGGTTTAGGGTTCAGGTTGTTTCGGGTTTCGGTTTCAGGGGAGGGCATCCAGGCAATCCGCTTCTGCAACAAAGCCCAGGAGCGGCTGCACACCACTGCTGGTGGCTGCACGGTCGGGATACTCAGAAGTCGTTCCGCTTCTGGTTGAGGCCATGAGTGAGCTGGACACGGCTGACACGGGCGGCGCGACTCCCATGCTTTCTGCTGCACGGTGGGGACATGCCAACGTGGTAAACGTGCTGATGCTGGCCCGGGCTGCGCTGAACAAGGGAACTACTACTACGCCTCTGTGTGTTGCATCCCGTTCAGGTACCTAGAGAGCTCCCAGTACAGCTCTCTTACTTTACTTCATGTTTATGGGGTAGGATTCCTCCACAAAACTATGAAACCAAAGGTGTGGTTTTCAGGCTGCTGCGCAACTTCCCTGAACTCTGAAACCCCCAAAAGCCCTAATTGGGGTTCAGGGTTTAGGGTTTAGGGTTTAGGCTTTAGGGTTTAAGGTTTAGGGTTTAGGGTTTAGGGTTAGGGTTTAGGGTTTAGGGCGCCCCCCACCCCCCCCCCCCCCAACCCCCGATCTCTCAACCTACCAGGCAATTCGGATGTCGTGCGGCATCTTCTAAGCGGCCGGGCCGACATCCATCTGGCGAACCTGGGTTCTTGTTAAAAAGACCTTTAAACGAATGAGAATATCTCCTTACAAGCCCTAAGCCCTAAACTCTGCCCTTAAGCCATCAACCCCTGAACCCCCAAAACTCTACACTTTGAACCCCTAACACCCTACACCCTAAACCCGAAACCCCAACCTAAACCCTACAACCCCCCCCCCCCCCCCCCCCAACACTAAAGCTCTCAACCAAGGAACAACTTTGGCTCCTCGCCTTTGCTTCTTGCAGCCGCACATGGCAGGACCGAGGCGTGGTCGCCGCGTCTAAAACACTGGTGGGTTGTTTTCTTCGGGTTTAGGGGCATTAGGGGGTCAGGGATTTAGGATTTGGTGGGGTTTAAGGTTTAGAGGTTTAGGGGTGTAGAGGTGTATGGGTTTAGGGGTTTAGGGTTTAGGGTTTGGGATTGCGGCTTTCCGGTTTTCAAGTGTACCCAGCAGCCAGGTAGGTGTTTGCACCCTGTGGGAGGTTGTCAAGCAGCTGGTGGCTGCTGCGGCAGACTGCAAGCAGCGGAACGAGGATGGATTCTCCCCGTTTCAGGTGGCCTCTCGAGGCGGCCATCGCGACGTAATGCACTTGCTCATGCAAGGGTCGGATACATGACCTTCGAGAGGCAGGGCGGCAGAGGAGAAGTCGGAGAAGGAGATGAGGAAGGCATCGAACTCAACAACGCTGGACATCATGCCTTTCATTCGAGTGCTTGAGCCAGATCCTGCTACCCTGAGCCCACCTTCGTGCAGAGATGACTTCGCGGGGTGCGACGCCGAGATATTTCCGCCTCGATGTTTGGCCAGCTCCGAGATCGTTCCATCTTCGGGCAACTACCCTGCTCCTTGGTGATGAGCCCCTGAATTCTTCGATGCCCTCGTTACGCCTCGAAGCAAACTTCCAAGAACTTAAAGCTGTAAACCCGTAAATTGGGCTTCGGCTTTCGAGCTGGGTTTGGGGTTTTAGGTGTTTGGGTCTCGCTGGTTTCGTAGGCGCCCTCTTCCCAACCCCAAGTAAGGTTGCAACCCCGAAGCTACGCCCCAAACCCTGTTGCCAGGACCTTGACTTGAAAATGATTTTGGTTCGAAATCATGGAGATACGATATTACATGGGCTTAGAATCCTACTCTGCGGATTCTAATTCAGACTCCTTGTTCCCTTGCACACCCCCGCCCCGCCCGCCTGGCCCGCCAAGCAGCATCAAACAAAAGAAAGCAGCGCCCAAACCCCTAAAACCTACACAATCAACCCCTAACCATGCCTGAACAACCTTTACACCCTAAACCCTAGACACTAAATCCTAAACCCTTAACCCCGCCCAACATATGTTTGGGTGTTTTTCTACCTTGGCCCAACAAGAGAGCCTTGAAAGGCAGATGGAGCACATGAGCCCCCGGGACACCGAAGAAGTGATGCCTGGGCACCGGGCACCACAACTTGGGGGTTAAGGAAAGGGGGCTGCAGAGGGTCCACTTACATAATCTACATACATGGTTTTTGTTTTTTTGGGGGCTCAGGTTTAAGAAGGGAACACGGGTTGCACACCCGCGAAACATACCCCGTACCCCGAAACATACCCCGTAACATACCCCCGAAATTGCAGGTAAAGTAGCTCATGATGCCGCGAAACATACCCGAAACATACCCCCGAAGCATACCCCGTAACATACCCCGAAACATACCCGCGAAACATACCCCGACCCCAACACCTGTCGCGCGCCTCCCCATTAAATTACAAACCCAATATGTATATATATATATATATATTTATTTATATTTATATTATATGTATATCTATATTTATATTTATTTATTTATCCATTTATTTATTTATTTCAAGATGTTTAAATACTATGTATCTAGGTATGTGTATATGTGTATATGCATACTTGTTTCTGGTAGGGAGTGATGGGGAGCTATACATAGGGCTTAGGACTAGGGTTGAGGGTTTAGCGGTGCGTGCTGGGCTGCTGTGACTGTGAGCACACGCACGCCGGACGAAAGAAGCGTCGAGCCCCGTTTCTCTCTGACAAGAGGTCCCCTTGCCCCATGCAACCCTCTTGAGGGCTGAGCAGCTGAAAGTTTTAAGGGTTTAGGGTTCAGGAAGTTTAGGGTTTAGGCAGTTTAGGAAGCTTAGGTTTTAGGGTTTAGGTGCCTGGTTTAGGGCCTTCTGCTTCTCGTCTCAGACTTCTCCTGGGTGTGTACAGGGCTTCTAGGGTTTTGGTGGGGGGGGGGCTTTTTAAACGGGTCTTTAGGGTTTTAGGGTTCAAGGGGTCGGGTTTAGGTTTTTAGGGTTCAAGGGTTCAAGGTTTAGGGCTACTATAGACCCTGAACTCTGAAAGCTAGCTCTGAATCCCACCGTTTAACTCTAAGGCCTGGACCCTGTAACCTGTTGCCCCGCAGCTGTTCAGGGGTGCACCTTTGGCAGGAAAGAAGACAACCCTCGCTCCCCAACCATGGGTTTAGGGTGTAGAAGAGGTGTTTTGGTTACTTGTGGGGGGAGGTGTTTAGGGCGTAGGGTTTAGGGTGGTGTCCCTCGCAAGGGAACATAAAGGGAACATAGCATGCAAGCTTCCTGAGGCCTGGACTTTGATCCACTAGCGCCGAGCTGACGAGCGTCTTGCAGGAAGACCTGTCGGGATTCACACTTTGTGGTAGCAACTGCAGCATAAACCCTGCAGCATAAGCTGAAAGGGTTCTTCAGGGAGGGGGATTCATGCGGGGGTAGGTAGCTAGGGATCCTTAGGGAAGCTTAGAGAGCCTTAGGGAGTAGTAGGGTGTATTGGGCAACTTTGGTTGTATACCACCCTTGAGCCCCCTCCCTTACGAACCTAGAATGCAGCATAAACCCCTGCAACAATGCCAGGCTTTATCGGGGCTTTGGTGTTCAGGGTATGGCGTGCACGTAGCAGCCCGGCGACCATCTCATTATCACGGCCGTCAAGGATTTACCGAGGAACGCAGACCCCAAGAAGAAATGGCAAAAGGGTACCGCTGCCTTGACTTCAACAGAGGGGCTTAAACCTTGAGGTTTCGGAAAAAAAGGCACAGTGAACGAACCTTTCAAACGGTTGCAAGGACGCTGGGCTTCGAGGCTTCCATCGGGATTGTTGGGGGGTTGGGTTCTTCAGGAAGTCAGGCTGAGCCCTTCAACTTTCAACAGTGATTCAACAATGTCACAAAACCTGAGCGCTATGAAATGTCCGACGTCAACAGGATCGCCAGTTCCGCTTGCAGCTGCATGAACGGGAGGAAGGCTGCTCTACAGTAGCTTCTCTGGTCCTTGGTAGGAGGGCAGGAGGGTTCAAAGGGGGGGTCACCTGACTCTCCTTCTTATTCCCTGATAGTCCCCGACCTGGAAAACTCATCCAGTACTGATTTACAAGTTACCTGGAAACGGGAACAACCGTATACACCCTAAACCCTAAACTCCCTAAGCCCTAAAGCAAAAACTCCTTAAGCCGCAAACTCCGTAAAGCCATTCAACCCTCAACCTTAAACTCCCCAAGCTCTAAACCCGAAACCCCTAAACCCTAAACCCTAAACCCCTAAACCCTAAACCCTAAACCCCCATATGCCTGCGCAGTGCTGCTTGAGGACGCCCACGGTCAGCGCGAACCTGCAACGCCTTGAGCCTGTCGATCTCTGGTTTTTTTCGGTCGACTTGGAGTATGGTTTAGTTGGTAGGGTTTAGGGTTTAGGGTTTAGGGTTTAGGGTTTAGGGTTTAGGGTTTAGGGTTTAGGGTTTAGGGTTTAGGGTTTAGGGTTTAGGGTTTAGGGTTTTAGGGTTTAGGGTTTAGGGTTTAGGGTTTAGGGTTTAGGGTTTAGGGTTTAGGGTTTAGGGTTTAGGGTTTAGGGTTTAGGGTTTAGGGTTAGAAACCTTCTTTGGGGTATTTATATTCCTGGGTATAGCTACCCATGAATCTTCAAGTAGGGTTTCGGGTGTAGAAAGAGAGAGGTTTACGGGGGTTCTGTTTCAGGCTTGTAGGATACCGGGGGTTGGGGCTTATAGGGTCCTTGGGTCCTTCTGTGCTTTCTTATGTGGTATGGCTTAGGGCTTGGTATGGTTTATTTAGGTATATCTGGGTTTTCGGTCCTAAGCCTACTTTGTGAACCCTGAACCCTGCCCCCCTCCCCCGCTACCGCTGCTTTTCTTTAGTGTTTGAGGGTATCCTTCTTATTTTGAAGATACTCGTCGGATGTTCTTCGGGGACGGAGTAGGATTTTGGGAATGTTCCTCAATTGGTAGAGTCCTTCTGTCTCGGACAAGATAATTTACTGACTTGTTGGCAAGAGTTGTTGCTGGAATGGCTTTTGGGAAGAATGTCGGAGATGTACCTTTGGCAGATTCAAGCCTAAGCTCTCCTCTTGCTCGGGTGTGGCCAAGCGCCAAAGAGCAGAAATGCCGCGTTTTTCAAGTTTCAAATTCGTTTCCGTAGTTTCAAATTAGTTTCAAAAATAGTTTCAAAATCCAGTTGCAAAATCGCTGTTAAGGGGAAACTGCATTTTTCTATGCGCAATTCAAAAAAATGAAGGAATCTCAGAGGTTCCTGGTTTTCAAAAAGCGCGGACAGAAATTGTAGTTCCCCCTTAACAGCGATTTTGCAACTGGATTTTGAAACTAATTTGAAATTGGTTGGAAACTAATTTGAAACTATAAAAACAATTTGAAACTTGAAAAATACCATATTTCGGACTTTCTGCCCCCATCCTGGCCCCTCACACACGGCCCTCAGTTGACTGTGGTCAGCCGTGACTATAGAGACCAGAGTTTCCGAAAACTTGCCAGTCTCCAGACAGTCTCGGACAAGATAATTTACTGACTTGTTGGCAAGAGTTGTTGCTGGAATGGCTTTTGGGAAGAATGTCGGAGATGTACCTTTGGCAGATTCAAGCCTAAGCTCTCCTCTTGCTCGGGTGTGGCCAAGCGCCAAAGAGCAGAAATGCCGCGTTTTTCAAGTTTCAAATTCGTTTCCGTAGTTTCAAATTAGTTTCAAAAATAGTTTCAAAATCCAGTTGCAAAATCGCTGTTAAGGGGAAACTGCATTTTTCTATGCGCAATTCAAAAAAATGAAGGAATCTCAGAGGTTCCTGGTTTTCAAAAAGCGCGGACAGAAATTGTAGTTCCCCCTTAACAGCGATTTTGCAACTGGATTTTGAAACTAATTTGAAACTGATTGGAAACTAATTTGAAACTATGGAAACAATTTGAAACTTGAAAAATACCATATTTCGGACTTTCTGCCCCCATCCTGGCCCCTCACACACGGCCCTCAGTTGACTGTGGTCAGCCGTGACTATAGAGACCAGAGTTTCCGAAAACTTGCCAGTCTCCAGACAGTCTCGGACAAGATAATTTACTGACTTGTTGGCAAGAGTTGTTGCTGGAATGGCTTTTGGGAAGAATGTCGGAGATGTACCTTTGGCAGATTCAAGCCTAAGCTCTCCTCTTGCTCGGGTGTGGCCAAGCGCCAAAGAGCAGAAATGCCGCGTTTTTCAAGTTTCAAATTCGTTTCCGTAGTTTCAAATTAGTTTCAAAAATAGTTTCAAAATCCAGTTGCAAAATCGCTGTTAAGGGGAAACTGCATTTTTCTATGCGCAATTCAAAAAAATGA